TCTTGGCATCAGTTTCCTCATCTGTTAAGGGAGGGATAATAGTAATATGAGCCTCATAGGACTGTTGCTAAGATTAAATAAACATATGTAAAACACTTAAAACAGTGTCTGGGACACAGTAAGTGCACAGTAATTGTTAACAGAGATAGTGATTAAAGAACAATCAACATTCAAGAAAAAAAATCATACAAAACTAAGCTTGTTCCCTGTTCTGGGGAAACAAGTCTTGTGCACAGGGGGCCTGCTTTGGGGCTTCACAGAGTTGGCTTCTCTTCTTTGAAACGAGGTCCTAGAAGCAGTGGAGGAAACTCAGTGGTGGCAAGTTTGAGAATGACAGTGAAATGGACTTCTATTATTTTCAGAACTAAAATATTACATATGAAATCTGGCTTTTTATTACCATCTGTTTTTTTTTTCTCCCCTTAATCTTACATAGATAATTCACTTACTCTGACTTTTAATTCATACATTAAATTTAAACTTTAGAAAATCATCTTACTTTCTAATCTACTTGAAAACAAATACAAGCTTCAAGAAGAAAATCTAGAGCTTTTCTACACACCTGCCTATCTTCTTCTTCCTTATTCCAGAGCACCCCTTAATCTTACATAGATAATTCACTTACTCTGACTTTTAATTCATACATTAAATTTAAACTTTAGAAAATCATCTTACTTTCTAATCTACTTGAAAACAAATACAAGCTTCAAGAAGAAAATCTAGAGCTTTTCTACACACCTGCCTATCTTCTTCTTCCTTATTCCAGAGCAAAACTCTACAAGCTTCTCAGTACCTGTTTGAAAATTCAAACCCATACAAAGCTGCTGCTTCTGGAGTACTTGGCCACGACCACTTCTTACGCAGTTCGTTAACGAAAAGAAAAGTACAGAAGTAGAGAAGGAAAGGAACAGACTGTTGAATACCTAACACGTGCCAGACACATTATTTCTTTTAGTTCTTCAGGAAGAATTCCATAAAGTAGGAATTTCTGCTCCTATTTTACAAGGTAAGGAGAAAGGTTCAGTGAGGTTAAACAATTTGCCAAAAATTATACACTGGTATAAGTGGTAGGATCTTTGGGATCTGAACTAAAATCTGGTAATCCAAAGCCTTAATTATTTCCACTAAATCAGAGGCTGTCAAATATTCTGCACATAAATAACTCGAGTAAAAAGTGCATTTTACTTCAGCCAATATATGGATACACAAGTATAAACACCTGAACAAAAGTTCCATGAACTAAAACTGACACTTAAAATGCGCAGTGCACTCTGTTATTCCCTAATCTAGTCAATAAGTTAAAAATTTATGGTGACAATCAGTAAAATTGTTTTATAACTCACCAATGGATCACCATTACCTGATGTCTAAAATTTCTTTTTTTTTTAAAATCACTGAGCTATATCACAGTTTCTAAGATGATTCACGAAAGATGAAAGAAAAATAATCAGGTTCTTTAGTTATATTGGGTCAATCTTGCCACATCTGCTTTGTCAAAGCAAAAGAAGAGAATTGCATTTTAGATGTTTGCCAGGGGTAAGTGAATGCTATTTTGAGACCAGGTACATGACACAATGTATGTAATGTGCATGTCACAATGCTTTATATATTTACCGAATTTTCTTAGCAACCCCATGAGGGAGACATTATTATTATTCCCATTTTATAAAGAAAGAAATGGACACAGAAAGCTTAACTGGTTGCTAAATACTCAACAACGAGTAAACAGCTGAGGTAGATTCAGACCCAGGTTGTCTGGCTCCAAATTCCCACTCTGCCTTTCACCAGGGGACTTCATATCTGGGTTGTATTAATTTTTCAAAGAAATAAACAGAATTGACTTAACATTTAACTTCTGACTCTTTATTAAGAACTGGTCATGTATAGCATTAATTCCATATCTTTAATAATAAACTGTTATTAGGACCAGTAGATGGCATAATTGTTAGTTTACCAAGGTTTAAGTCCCAGACCTGGCGGCTTAAAACTCACACCAGGTATATGTGTATATGTGTCCAAAATCCCAAGAGGAGAATGGAGAAGAGACTGTAGTGTGGCCATCACCCCAGGGAGTGATTTATTGCTTTTTGTCTGTGTCTCTCTGGACAGTGCATATGCCCTAAAGCCAAAAAACCTCACTCTAAAACAATTTTTTTTAATTAATAATAATAAACTGCTATTAAAATGCCCTACTAATTAGACTGTCACTGATCTCTATGTAAGGGAAAAATCTGGTCAGTCCAGATCTACACTTCATTTGCCTTACTTCTTAGAAAATAAAGCTATGTAATATCTCAATTCCATTTTTTATCAGAGTTTACCATTGCCTCAGAGTTAAACTATGTGTTTGTTATGAACAGCTAATTCTTCACGGCTTTGTTTTTGTGTGTATACACCTGCCTATCTTCTTATTTCTTACACTATAAACACTTCGCTAGGAGATGGTCAATTAGAGATGAATATTTACAGGGACAGACATACATTTGATAAATATCTGCACTGATGGTATGTATAAATTTTAGAAGGAAAAGTACTGCACACTTGGAGAGTATATTACTGGAGCACTTTTTCTAGCCAGAGAAGCTATGGTGACCTTATGGAAGAGAGATTTTTATCCTGAGCTATAAAGGATGATGGGGAATCCTTTCACCTAGGATAATTTCTAGGCAAAGACAAAAAAATGCAGAAAACTTTGAGAAGATAGGGGTGGCTCTTCTATAAAACTTGGAAATTTGCTAACAGAAATTGATAGACACACTCTGTTTGCACCCCCTGGAAACTTGCTTGGAACAGAAAAATGGTGAGTGTTGTCTAGCTTACTTAGTATTATGGGGGATTCTGTTCTTAGTACAGTAATTCTCAATTCTAGCTAAATATTAGAATCTAAGGAGCTATTTCAAGGAAAGAGGCCACAGAGTGAAAGAGAGAAGAACTTATTTAATTTACTGAGTTTCCTTTCCCAAGTGAAAAAAAGAAATTGGAAAACTGGAGGTAACTGTTTCAACAAGGTGATCTTATTGATTTATTTAATAGTATCTACAAAAAATGACAAAAGGTCAGAGAATTTTTAAAGCTTTATTTCTAATCCTATAAAAGGAAAATATTGCTACTATCTTGAAGAAATTTGGAATTCATAAATGTTAACATTATATTAGAAGAAAAACTGAAATAGGTAGAGCATGGGAAAAAAAAATCTACCCTGGATTTTGGTATAAAGGAAAAAATATAAATTTTTTTTTTTTTTTTGGCTTAGTGCTTTTTCTTTAAATAAAAACAGAATTGAGTTAAATGAGATTGGGAGATAAGAATAAAGTGGGAAGTGAGTCAGTTTACACAAACAGTAGTTATAAACTGGTATATACCAGGGTTTCTAAACTGAAGTGTGCATCAGAATCTCCTGCAGGTCTAGGTGAACCACAGATTGCTGGGTCTCACCCCCAGAGTTTCTCATTCAAGCAGGTTTAGGGTAGACTCTGAGAATTACCATTTTAAGGAGTTCTCAGCTAATGCTATTGGCCCAGAAACAAACACAATTTGAAAATCACTACACTATAAACTCTTACACAGTTATAGCAAAACAAAACTACACACTTTTCCTGGGGAAATAGAATATAAATAAAAGAGTTATTTTAGAGGTTAAGAGGTGTGCCACTTTCCAAGAAACATTTTATAAGTCCTTTCCTTTTTATATTTTAAAATACAACATTTGATACACACAAAAAATAAATATCTAAATTGTAAAAGCCATCTAATTCCCATACTTAATTCATAGTGACTACTAATGTCTTCAAATATAACCAACAAACTTCTTTTAATATTAAATAGTATCTATTTTTATAATTGCCAAATATTCTTTTAAGATTTAATTTCTCAAGGATAAATATAACTTTCATAATTACCACACATAGGTTAACTTTTAAATGTTTTTCATCATTGTTTATTGTACAATTCTCATTAGTGAATAAGCATTAAAATTACTGAAGACTAACCTAACAGAATATATTTTTGGCTTAGTGCTTTTTCTTAAATAAAAACAGAATTGAGTTAAATGAGATTGGGAGATAAGAATAAAGTGGGAAGTGAGTCAGTTTACACAAACAGTAGTTATAAACTGGTATATACCAGGGTTTCTAAACTGAAGTGTGCATCAGAATCTCCTGCAGGTCTAGGTGAACCACAGATTGCTGGGTCTCACCCCCAGAGTTTCTCATTCAAGCAGGTTTAGGGTAGACTCTGAGAATTACCATTTTAAGGAGTTCTCAGCTAATGCTATTGGCCCAGAAACAAACACAATTTGAAAATCACTACACTATAAACTCTTACACAGTTATAGCAAAACAAAACTACACACTTTTCCTGGGGAAATAGAATATAAATAAAAGAGTTATTTTAGAGGTTAAGAGGTGTGCCACTTTCCAAGAAACATTTTATAAGTCCTTTCCTTTTTATATTTTAAAATACAACATTTGATACACACAAAAAATAAATATCTAAATTGTAAAAGCCATCTAATTCCCATACTTAATTCATAGTGACTACTAATGTCTTCAAATATAACCAACAAACTTCTTTTAATATTAAATAGTATCTATTTTTATAATTGCCAAATATTCTTTTAAGATTTAATTTCTCAAGGATAAATATAACTTTCATAATTACCACACATAGGTTAACTTTTAAATGTTTTTCATCATTGTTTATTGTACAATTCTCATTAGTGAATAAGCATTAAAATTACTGAAGACTAACCTAACAGAATATATTTAGTTTGCCAAGAAAAATAACTCAATTTTTCTAAGACATATAGTAAAACCAGAGACAGAAAAAATGCAGTTCATCTTAAATTTACCAATTTTAGTTCTTCGATTAAAGAAGGCAAAAAAATTGAGATTGGGCTAGATCATTCTAAAGTAGCTCTTTAAAAATAATAGTTAAATAGCCTCTGAAGCTTTTTGAATAATTATACACATTGAATATTGGCAATGGAATAAAAATCTTACCCAGATCTAGTCGTTTTGAATTCCACCTTGAGGATAGGTTTGCATGGCTCTGGTTTCTTCCCATCCTTTAACTGTTTTCCTAAAATATATTTTCCTGCATTAAATTCTAAAATTCTAAGTTACTCTAAATTCTTATATTGATAGTTTACACAATGAAAGTGAAATATAATTAAATGTACCATGAAACAGTTTAAAAGTAATTTTGAAAAAAGTACTTAACATCAAGCAAGATATTTTTAAAACAATCAAGCAAAGTTACTATTTGAACTTCAGTGTTGAAAACAATTAAAATGAGTAACTCAGTAACAACATTAATGTAATAAAATGCTAGTAAAAGAAATCTACAGTTCTTTTCAATGTTCTTAATTTTAATGGCAGGTAAGCAAAATAAAATTTCAATTTGCTCAAGTTTTAAAATAGCATGATTTGAGAAAAATCTTTATCACATTTTCACCAGTGTAACAGGCTGTAAAATTAAACCTTATTTTTTAAAAAGAATTATTTTTACTTTATTTATTACTATTTTCCAATCTGACCAGAGAGAAGGAAAGTGAGAAATGAAGTCACCAGGTCTAGGACTTGAACCACGGTTGGCCACTTGGGATTCCAGTGCCTTTGTCCACCAGGGCACCCACCAGCCTTCTTATCTTAATAAACTCATGTGTATTTATTTTACTTGTGTAAAATAAATCTATCTTAATGCATTGTTTTGATCTTTAGCTGGTTATGTGTATTTCTTCTTTTACAAGTAGCTTGTGGAGGGCCAACAGGTGGTGTAGCAGTTACATTGCTTGACTCCCACATGGCCAATCGCCAATTCAAGTCCCAGACCTGGTAGTTTGAAAATCACACCAGGAGTGTGTGCATGTGTGCCAAAGATCTTGAGAGGAGAATGGAGGAGAGAGGATTGTTGTGTGGCCATTCCCCCGGCAAGTGATTTCTTACTTTCCCTTTCATTCTCTGTCTTTCTTGGGTGAGCGCACACACCCTAGAGTAAAAACCTCTTAAAAAAAGAGCTTGTGAAGGTCCTACAAGCAGAATGGTGGCACAAGCAGAAGCTCAAGTCAGTTGCTGCACAGAGGCTAAGACTACATGGGAGGCCTGAGTGCAGTTACCTGGCCAACTTTAATAGGCTGGATGCAATGGCCAAACCTGCGACCCTAGCTAACTGGAGGCTGGGGCAGTAGGACTGTGCCATAAGAGAGACATCTCCCCTTACCTCTTTCTCACTCTCCTATCCATCCTCCTGTAGTTGCTCTCTATCATAAAAATAACTGATTAATTTAAAAGTCTCATTTCCTTTTACCAGTATTTCTATGCTACTTATCTGTCTCATATTCAAAAATATTTAAAGCTCATTAATGCTGTACCCATCACATGGCAGTATTTCCCCTAGTACCACTTACCACTGAATTCTTTCAAATTTTTGTAACTGCATAGAAGGCTAGGACCAGCAGATAGCACAATAGTTATGTCACTGGACTCCCAGATGGATGACCATGGTTTGAGTCCTGGCCCTGGTGAAACTCACACTGGATGTGTGTTCATGTGTGCCCAAAATCCCGAGAAGAATGGAGAAGGGACTGTGGCATGGCTATCCCCCTTGGAGGATGCTTTCTTGCTTTTTGTCTCTCTGTTTCTCTTGGTCTCTCTGGTGAGCACATATACCCTATAGTAAAAATCTCTCTAAAAAATAAAAATGCACAGAAGAATAAACAATTTTAAATGTCTACCAATTTTATGATATTCCTTCCCAGTAAGAAAACATAAAGTCCTAAAATGTTGATTCTTTCAAAATTAACTTTTTAATTTAATGTAATTATAATCAGTATGTCAAAGAAATATCCGCACTTCCATGTTTACTGAAATATTATTCATAATAACTAAGATATGGAATCAGTCCAAGTGCTCAACAAATGATGAACAGATAAAGAAAATATGCTATATGTACACAATGGAATACTATTCATTAAAGTATTTAATAAAGTATTGAATAAAGTATAAAGTATTGAATAAATGAATTAAAGTATTCAATAAAGTATTAAATAAAGAAAGATAAATTCCCATCATTTGAAACAAAATGGATGAACTTGAGAGAAATACAGGTAAGGGACATAAGCCATGCTCTGAAAGATGAATAATGTGTATTCTCAAATAAATACTGTGTGTCCTCTTTAGCAGAAGCTAAAAGACATGACTACATAGAAACAGAGAGTATAATGGTAGAGTCCAGGAGTTAGAAAGAGGACTGTGATGGGGACACAGGAGAAACTTGGCTAACAGATATGAGAGTGCACGTGAACAAATGGAACAGGTTATAAAAGACTGACAGCACAAGAGAGGAAAGAATGTTGATGACAATGTGTATTTCCATGCAACCAGTAGAGAGAATTTAGAATATGAACATCAAATAATGATAAATGTTGGAGATGGTGAATATATTTACTTCCTTGATTTGACCGGTGTGCACTGTGTGCATGCTTTGAAAAACCATACCATATTTTCACAAAGTTGAACAATGCTCAGATATCAAAAATTATTTTAAAAAAAGATGCAAAAAAGACTAACACAATCCTAATTTTCATTAAACAATAGCTAGGACAAAAAGGCTTCTGTGTTTGTGTGTGTACATGTGCAGGCACATACATGCATGTAAGTGTATATAATTTTAGAAACAACATATTTTGGAAGAACATGTGTAAGATTTTTGACATAGCCAACCTGGTAAACAGAAATGGGGTTGGACTGCTAATACCGCAGAAGGGAGAAGGGAACGGTATGAATCATCCCATTTATGTATAGTGGTAGATATGCGCATATGAAAAATCTACCAGTCTTTTTTGTCATTCTCTTTGGTGTTAGTCTTAAAATATTCTTCACACACCAAAATCACATTTTTTTCAGTTTCTTGTAATTGTTTTGTAATTTCATTTATTATATTTAATTACCTGATGTACATTTTAGTAGAGGGAAGGTATCTTTCTCCTAACAATTAATAAATTATCAATCACGTGAGTACTATTTTTAGCGCTTTACTGAATTTTAACTGCTTTACAACTATGTATATATTTGTGACATGTACAACTGGATGAGTTTTGACATATGTACATAACTGCAAGTGCCATTTATTGAACCACATTTTTCACTCACTAATATGAAATTTCATATCATACTAAATTTTTATAAATACACATCTGTAAACTGACATTAGTGCCTCTAATTCTCTAATTTAAGATCCTACGGAATCATTTCTTCCCCCTCCTTATGAAGAAATGGTGGTACAGTAAAATTTAAATCTCAGCCCAATTTTTACAAGGACCAGTAAGTAGTTAGTGGTAGAGGAAAGCGGAACACCAGACTAAAGGACTGGAGAGGACTGCTGGCAGAAAGGATTGGTAAGGTGGGAGAAGAAAGTGAGGAAAAAAAGAAAGGTATGTATAAAGAGGGGCTAAAATTGGAAAAGTTGTTCCCTGCACTGTATAAAGTACATATCAAGAATTTCAACTTCTTTTTTTTTGGAGAGGTTTTTGCTATAGGGCGCCAGACAGACAGAGACAGAGATAGAAAGTGAGAAATTACCCCCCAGGAGGGATGGTCACGCTGCAATCCCTTCTCCTCCATTCTCCTCTAGGGATCTTGGGCACAAACGTACACGTGCCTGGCGTGAGTTTTAAGTCACCGGGTCCAGGACGCGAACTGCAGTCGACTACATGGGAGTCCAGCAACATAGCCATTACGCTAACTGCTGGTCCCAAGAATTTCAACTTCTTATCCAGTCTTTTCAGAAGTGTATAACCTTCCAGTAAAGAACTAAAAATATTTACTCTGAAGAAAGGCAGCAGGACTTTATCCTTCCTCTACCATGCAAAGCTTCAGAATCAAATCTTGGTGGTTAGAGTTGGAGACTCCGCACAATCTATGCACACAGATAAGTGCTCACTAGAGTTTGATATGGAATGTTTCAGACTGATATAATTTGGAAGTACAAAGGCAAATTTTATACTTATTTTTAAAAATTATTTTGTTATAGCCATAGTTTTATGAAATACAAGTTATTCAGACAGAACTCCTATAACTTATCTCAATACCCAGCATCAATCATTCAGTGACTGAAACAACTTTGAAAGAAGGGCATTAGATGATGTATTTACTGAATGCTACCAAGTCTGAGCTTGAATATCTTGCCTAAAACCTCACTCAATACAAATTCTGAGCGTTTTTCTTGCTCAACGATCTTCTGATCATGCTCTATTGTGTTCTAGCATTCAGACTTATATAAGTAAGTCTGATTTTTTTATTCCTTCATACCTTTTTTCTGTGCCCTGTGAGGAAGCTTAACAGATTTTCTTTGTAAACTAAAAATGTTGCAGGGTTTTTTGTTTTGTTTTGTTTTTAAATTGCCAGAGGGTGCATAAGTGAGAGTGCGAGTGAGAGAGAGGGAGAGAAAGGGAGAGAGAAGAGGCAACCCCCAATGGGATGAGGCCACACCATGATTTCTTCTCCATTTCTACAGTCAACTGAGATTTAGGGCGCGTGCATACGCACACATATCTAGTGTGCTTTTTAAACCACTGGGGCTTGAACTGCAGTCAGCCATGTGGAATCTAGGTCCTTTAACCATTAAGAAATCTGGCCCAAAAAATGTTGCAGTATTTAAAGTGACTGATCTTTATTAATTTTGACTGGAAACCAGTGAGTACTTTTGATCTTCATACACTGATATTTTTCTAACTCAGGTGTTATAAATCATGTCACTGACTACTGCTTCTGGTCCAGAAAGGTTAAGTTATTCATCAATAATCCTGGACTAGCAAGTTTCTAAATCAGATTAATAAGGCGCTACTTTTACAAAGCACATGTAAATTAAACATTTAGAAGATCACCACATTTCACCACTAGGTGTCATTTTATTTAAGTGTTACCACCAGAGAAGAAAAATGTGTGCTTTTTTTTTAAAGAACCTGTGAACTCGGAACCAGCAGTTGGAGTAATAGCTATGTTGCTGGACTCCCATGTAGTTGACTGTGGTTCAAATCCCAGACCTGGTGGCTTAAACTCACGCAGGGCGCATGTGCGTGT